AAAAAAAAAAAAAAAACAAAAACAAACTCACTGCCGTCAAGTCAGTCCCAACTCATACCTATCTTGGGTTTCCAAGGCAGTATCTCTTCGGAAGTAGATTGCCCAGTCTTCCCTCCGAGAAGTGGCTAGTAGGTTTGAACCACCAGCCTTCTGGTTAGCAGTCAAAAATGTAACTATGTATCGTAAAATGTTAAAATCATGTTCTGTTTTCAGGCTGAATACAAATAGTCAGTGGGCTGGACTTAGTCCCAGGGTCATAATTTGGTGTCCCCTGAACAAGACTGACTGCTTCCCTCTACCAGTCTCTACTCCTACACCCCAACAGAGAAAGCCTCGACTGCAGGCCCAGGAACCTTTAACACACAGGTTGGACCCAGGCACTCCTCTGCCTAAAACTCCCCTTTGCCCCCAGGATAAGGTACCCCTTCTAGGTATATTTTCCTAAGCCTGGCATGAGTGAGCCCAGACTCCCTTTCTCAGCTGTCCTCCCCCTGGTCCTCCAGGTCCCAGGCTGCTTTGACAACTCTATGGTACTCTTGAAGTTGCCGGGTTCTTGAGATTCAAGCCTGGCATGTGCAGACCCTTGGGTCTGCGTGTGGGGGTGGGCATGACCAGGCAACACACTCCTGCTTGCAAAGTTCACACAAGCCAAGCTGGACATGAGGTCCCTCATCTACTGAAATGCATGCAGAGCCACTGGCCCTAGGGTACAGCTCACCTGACTCTTGGCCCTCATTGCCCTTCATTTCTTGTTGTTGTTAGTTGCTGTCAAGTGGATTTCGACTCATGGCAAGCTCATGTGTTTCAGAGTAGACTGTGCTCCATGGAGTTTTCAAGGCTGTGAGCTTTCAGAAGCAGATTGCCAGGCCTGTCTTCCGAGGCACCACTGGTTGGATTTGAACTCCCGCCTTTCTGCTAACAGTCAAGCACTTAAACAATTGTTCACTCAGGGACTCCGCCCCAGTGTCCTTTGTCCTGAGATTGTCAGGAGCCAGCAGACCTTGCTGGGCTCTGGGCCTGGACCTCCCTATGCTCTCTCCTCCCACTGTCACCCATTTCTCCTCCCTATACCCTTTGTCCCTCTCTCCTCTTCTGCCTCTTTGGCCTTTTTCCCTTTGGCTATTGCCCAGAACTTTGGCAACCTTGAGCATTTAAGGTACTTAATTTCTCTGCTTCTCTAGGTAGTGGGGATAAACCAGGATGTTAAAAATGTGCAATAATCCTTAGTATGGAGACACAGAGCAATCAGAAGGGATCTAACTATGGCTGGAACTGGGGCCTAGAAGGCCTGCTTAACCTGGAGTTAATCTTTTAGCTGCAAAATTGTGGGGAGCACTATGGAGGGGAGGGGGGATCAAGAGAATGGCTATTGACCAACCTCTACTGAGTATGTCAATATTTTAACAGCCAGGACACTGGTGTCCACACGCAGGCTGAACACCAGCCTCTGCATGGCAGTTCCCACCTGGTCAGGTGCCGGCAGATGGAATGAAACTTCCCACATATTCCCAATCACTCTCGCTTTTCAATCAATAGTCCCAGCCCCTTCCCCAAAATTTTCCCTTCAGTAGAACTGGAGTTTGGGTCGGTATGGCCCTCTCTGACCACCATAAATGTGTTTAGTATGGAGTCGGGGAAGGGAGCAACAGGGCATACCCATACCCTCTGTGCAGTCACAGCCCAGAGTCCAGCCAGGTGTGGGCTGGGCAGACGTAAACACATTTCTTCATTTCATGCCCACAATGGCCCTGTAAGGTCAGGATTGTTGTTGCCATTCTGCAGATGACAAAGTAGAGGCCTGGAGTAATAGCAAGGCCAGCTAAGGCCATACAGCTGGTAAGTTGCCCAGCCGGAGTCTGACCCCAGGTTTGCCTGACACCTGCTCACTTCTCTGTCCACCCTGCTCAGCCCGCACCTTCTTTCCCCCTCCTGTTTTTTCCTCTTGTTTCTTCTTCTCTGAAAGTAAGAAAGGAAATCCATCCTTTCTGAGTCCCTTACCTCCCAGAGCTCAGAACTTTCTCACTTCGATCCTTCCCTGTGGCCCGAGGCAGGATGTCTGTCCAAGTAACCTGCCCAAAGCCATGGATGATGGCTTCTACCTACCCTTCCTCAACAGCCTTGCCCTCCTCACTCCCCAAAGAATGCTAGGCAGGCCCAAGAGGTCTCTCTGGGCAGGGTCTGCAAGTACAGCAAAGTCCCATTTTGAATGAAATTCTTTTCTCCCTCAGTGAGGTTTGTGAACCTGGAGCGTCTGCTCAGCAGCTTCCAGGTGCTCCATCTTACCCAGGGCCAGGAAGGAGAAGACCCATTGCAGGACTGCAAACGTCTGCAGCCTGCGCTCCAGCGGCAAGGCCAAGGGTGCGAACTCCACCATGTCGGCCCCTCTCCTGGCTCTGGCTGTGTCTCCGAGCACTGCTGTGACACCAGGAACCCACAAGCTTTTGTGGCAGCTGCAAGGTTGTGCAAGCATGGAGGATGCCACGCCCAGCCCAGTCTCAAGGCCTCCCCACCCCCACTCTGAGAGGAACACACTTCAAAGAAGAAATGTTTAAATCCCGCCTACTCTGGGGCCTGGCTGAAGAAGGAAGGAGAAGATGATTATCCCTTTATCAATTGCAGCTACCTCCTTATCTACTTTTTCTAATTGCTCCAATTCTGCCCTTCCTACCACTTGGCAGTTAAAGTCCCAAACATAATGCTTTGTTCTGGCTCTCACCTTGCAATGATCAGGCTCAATGAACTGGCTTCAATTAGTGTCCCCTCCCTTTCCTGCCACGTCCCTGCTTCTCCTCTCCACTAGATCCTTGTCAGCAGTTTACAAATATGCTATAATAGCTCCCATGTAAAAATCTCTTGGAGTACCTTTAATGTGCAAACCTTGACCACACTCAGTTGCTAATCAAGCCCATCTCATCTCAGAAACTTTGGAGGTTTGAGTTCATTCAGAGGTTCCTAAGAAGAAAAGTCTGGCAATTTATGTCCAAAAATTCAGCCATTAAAAACCCTATGGAATACAATTCTACTCTGACACAAACAGTCATGAGTTGGAATCCGCTCCACAGTAACTACCCTGTTGACCCCACCACCTCCTCTGTCTTCTGCCCCATTTCTCTGTTTTACCACACAGCACTATTGGAAGAGCTGTCTGTTATCTACATCTTCCTGTTCCACACTTTAGACTCCACTATTCCATGAAACAGCCCTTGATAAACTCACCAATTACCTCTATGTTGCTAAATCCAGTGTCAATTCTCAACTCTCATCTTGACCTATGGAGCAGCTTTAGACATGGTGACCACTCCCTCCTTCTTGAAACTACTTGCCCTACAGATGCCACACTCCCTACCTTTCTCTGGCTGTTCTTCTTGGCCTCCTTGCTGGCTGTTATCCTTTGCCAGACTAAACATGCATACCCTTCTCCCCTTTCCTCAGTCCTTACACCTCCTCTCTTCTCTCCACACTCGCTGTGTCATAGATTTCGTCCAGTCTTATGGTCTTGTATTCGATCTACAGTGAGGATTCCTAGCTCTGATTTGATTCTGGGGTTCCAGACTTGAATATCTAAGTGGTTAGTTGTTATCTTCACTTGAATACCTGATAGACATGTCCATGACAGCAAGCCTAAAACTGAAATTGATTTCCCACCATGTACTCTTCCCCTACTACTTCCCATCTCAGTAAAGGGGAGCTCCATTTGCCAGTTGCTCAGATCAAAACCATGGATTCATACTAGACCATTTCTGTTCCTCTCCATTCACATCTAATCAGCTTCACCACATACTGTTGCTTCTTTGTCCTAATCTACCCTTTTAAACGTAAACTTTGAATTAAAATATAGCACACATGCAGAAAGGTAGTATCTCAAGTCACTGGGGCTTCAGGTTCATCTTTTATATTTCCTGCCCAATCCTAGAATCAGCTAATCCTTCAAGAATCCCTGGTTCCTTTTATTGGAGAATGGTATTAGAAACCAAGATCTTGGCACTAGGTGTACTTGTTGCTACTGAGATGTTATTGCTTATAAGTCCTCTCAACAGAGAAAGGAAATATATGTGTACACTAACCTGTGCATAGAAACTTTCTATAAGTATTTCTGCATGTGTCCATCTGTATCTATATTAAGCTAAGCATGAGTTCATACCAATGTCTCCAACTCTCCACGGGTCACTTTAGCCAGCACTACATGAGTCATTTCAGCCTTCTTCCCTGGGGCATCTGTACTCCAACAGTGAGAAACTTTACTCCCACCATCTGCCATCCATTTCCTTAGTTATTCAATTTCAGAATACATATATAATAGTTTCAGGATTGTTAACTTGTATTCCAATGGGAAACAACTTTATCAACTAGAATGCTTGTGTACAATTCTTATTGCCTTTAGTCTTACAGACTCCATTTCTTTCCAAAAGTACATAGGTCAGACTCTTTTCCATATACTCACTTCAGTGAGGTTGTTCTGTGCTCTTGTGATACAATTAGGTGTTTTCTTTGTTTATTTTTTTCTTTTGTCACAGTTTGCATTCCATCCTGGGATCTCTGGCCTTCTAATTTTTTTTTTTAATTACATACATTAAGGTTCACTCATTCTGTAAGTTCTATGGTATCATACAGAGTAGTTTCACAGCCTCAAAAAAAAAAAAAAAAAAAACCCTCTGTATATCATTTATTCAAATCCCACCTCCCACCCCTGAACTGTTGGCAACCACTGATCTATTTACTACATTTATGGTTTTGTCTCTTCCAGAATGTCATATAAATGAAATCATATAGTATATAGCCTTTTCAGACTAGTTTCTTTCACTTAGCAACATATATTTAAGATTCATCCATGTTTTTGCATTGTTCATTCATCTTATCATTTCTTGATAGTTTGTTCATTTTTAATAGCTTTATTGAGATATGACTCACATAATTCATCAACTAAATTGTATTTTTAAAATCTTAAATACAATTTTAAATTGTGTTTTTTTAATCTATCTCTTAACACCATGATGCATTCTGTGAAATAGGACATTATGTGATTTGGACGTTGTGTGAACACACTATTAAAACCTCATGGGAATCCACTTATGGTCATTCTCATCTCTGCTGCTGCTGTTGCTGCTGCTGGAGCTGTTGGTGGAGACTGTAGGAATGGACAGTGGCTGAAAGGGCGGGAGCACAGCAAGAGGAAGTGAAGAGGTGGGAGTGGAGCATGCCTAGCCCTGCCTGCTGTTCCATCTTCCTGAGCAGCAGAAGCAGTTTGGGCCCTGCAACCCACACTCCCACCACCTGCCTGCCCAATGGACAAAGCCTGAGAGCCCACACCCAGAGCCAGATTCTCTGCCTCACCTCCCTATATCCCACCCATGGTGCAATGCTGCAGGAGTCTGGTTTGGGGATTGTAAGAATGGTATGGTGGGGGCATCTGACCTACTCTAACATCACAAGGGAGAAGGAGAATCATTATCAGCATCAACTGCTGAAAGCTGATTCTCATGAGGCAGAGGTCAAACATACTTCGTCTTGCCAACCTTTTTTTTTTTTTTTTTTTACCAATTTTAACACCAACTATCCCTCCCACAGCACTTCCTGCTTCTCTCTTGGGTTCGATAATTTGTTGCCATGGCCATACAGAACTCACAGACCATGCTCACAGTTATGGAGTTTATTATGGAAGTAACAGATTACAACTCAGGTTCAGGAATGCTTGGGATACAGTTCTTCGATCAGAAAAGCCTCCTCTCAGCCATGCCCACAGGCAGGCCTTTTTCTGACCCTTGGTCCCTTGACCTGGCCTCTGCCCTGTTTGAAGAAGTGTTACAAAGTTCTTTTAGCTCTGCCAATAATGACCCTGAGGCACCCCACTCCAGCAGTAAGCCTTGGCCTGAAGGCACTTAACTCTCCCATTCCGTAGGTCAGTTAACCTAACTTCACTTCCAAGTGCCAGGAGGCACCTCACTGCACTGCCAGCAAACCTCCTGATTGAAGTCATTCAGCTCTCTCACTCCATGAGTCAGCACACCCACTACACTGTCTCCTGCCAGTCTCCTGGTTCTGCTATTTCTGCTGCTGCCATTTCTCTGCTGCTGCTTCTTGACATCTTGGGCCATCTCCAGTGCTACAGCTCTCTCTGTCTTCTGGGTCTAGGAGGCTCCCTACACAGGAACCTTGGGTCCAAAGGATGCACTCTGCTCCTAGCTCTTCTTCTTGGTGGTAGTGAGGTTCCTTCTCTGCTCTGAGATTGTTCTTTTTAAAGCCTAATGGGACAGCAAAACTGACCAATCCCCTTGTTAGGGTTCTATACACACCTTATTTGCATAGTCTCACCCAATCATTCTGTAGGAGTCACAAGACCGTGGTAAGAAAAGCCATACAAAAGCAATCCATTGCACTGCAGGGGTCTTAAAAAACATTAGGGGAAATAATAAACAAAAAGAGAGATGCTTTCCCTTTGGGGGAAAAAAAAAAAAAAAAAACATTATACGACCACGGGCGTATATGCTGTTGGACATTGCCCAAACAGACACTTAACGGTATTGGTATGTTTAGTACATTTAGTGTATAGTTTCTAGTACATTCACAGGTTTTGCAATCACTACCATAATGAATTTTAGAACATGTTCATCACCCCAGAAAGAAACTCCATATCCATTAGCAGTTATTCCCAACCTCCCCAACCCTAAGCAAAAACTAACCTACTTTTACCTTTATAGATTTGTCTATTCTGGACATTTTGTATAAATAGAATCATACCATGTGTGGTCTTTTGTGATTAACGTCTTTTACTTAACACAATGCTTTCAAGATTCATCCATGTTGTAGTATGTATCAGTACTTCAACTTCATTCTTTTTAAGACTGAATAACATTCTACTGTATGGATATATGACATTTTGTTTATCCATTCACAACTTGATGGACATTTGGGTTGTTTCTATTTTGGGGGGAGATCATTCCTTTTTATCACTGAACAGTATTCCATTGTAAGGAGGTCTGGTGGTGTAGTGATTAAGGCATTTGGCTGCTAATTGAAAGGTCAGTGGTGCAAACCCACCAGCCATTCTGCAGAAGAAAGTTGGAGCAATCTGCTTCTGTAAAGATTTACAGCCTTGGAAACCCAATGGGGGTCACTATGAGTCAGAATCAACTTGGTGGCAGTGAATTTGGTTTTGAGTTTGAGTATTCCATTGTATGGATGTACTACAGTTTGTTTATCCATCCACATATTGAAATATGTCTTGGTTTTTGGTGAGATGAATAAAGCTTCTATAAACACTTGTATCCAGGTTTTTACGTGGTTGTAGTTGTCAAATAAGTTAGAAGCATGCTTATTGGATCATACAGTAAGACTACGTTTAACTTTGTAAGAAACTGTCAGATTATCTTCCAAAGT